GAATTTCCTCAACACAGCAAAAAAGTATATATGCAAAATCAAGAGCTAACATCATTCTCAATAGAGAGAGATTAAAAGCATTCCCTTTGAGAGCAGAAACTAGACAAGGATGCCCATTGCCACCTCTCCTAGTCAATATTGTGTTAGACGTCTTAAAGATAGCAATAAGACGAAAGAAGGAAGTGAGAGCTATTTAAATTGTCAAAGAGGAGATCAAGCTAGCTCTATAGGCAGATGATATGATAGTATACTTAGAAAATCCTGAAGACACAGAGAGAAAACTACTGGACGTTGTTGAAAAATTCAGTAAAGTAGTGGGATACAAGATCAACATACAAAAATCAGTTCCATTTCTATATTGTGACAAAGAACAAACACAGAAAAGGAGCTAAGAAAAACAATACTCATTACAATAGCTAATCAAAAGATTAGATACATGGGAGCAAATCTAACTTAAGACACAAAAGACCTTTACAAAGAAAATTACAAAATATTACTACAAGAAACAAAAAGAGACCTGGAGAAATGAAAGATCATACCATAGTCATGGATAAGAAAACTCAATACCGTGAAAATGACAATTCTACCAAAGACAATCTACAAGTTCAATGCAATCCCAATATAGACACCAATGCCATTCTTCAATTAAATGGATATAGAAATTTCCAATTTAATTTGAAATGAAGAGACCCCAAATAAGCAAAACACTCCTGAAAAGGAGAAACAAGATAGGAGGCATCACACTGCCTGATTTCAAATCACAGTACACAGCTATGGTGGTCAAGAGAGAATGGTATAGCTACAGTGACAGACACATAGATCAATGGAACAGAATTGAAAACCCAGAAATCAGCTCATCTATCTATGCTCAACTGATTTTTGACTAGGAGACAAAATCAGCTAAGTGGGGAAATGATGGCCTTTTTAACAAATGGTGTTGGCAAAATTGGAAAACCATCTGTAGAAAAGTGAAGCAAGACCCACACCTCACACCATATATAAAAACCAACTCAAGATAGAACAAGGACCTAGAACTAAAACCAAAGACTTTAAATTTCCTTAGAGAAAAGCTTTGAAGAACTCTAGAAGTCATAATCCATGGTACAAATAGTCTTCCAAACAAAATGAAAAATAAACAACCAGGAGAGGACAAACATTTATGAACTTTGTATGTAAATCAGTATAAAAATTTAAAAAGAAAAAGAAATAGATGAATGAGACCTTCTAAGAATCAAATCCCTATGTACAGCAAAAGAACTTCTCCAACAGGGCAAAAAGGAAAGCTACAGACTGGGAAAGAAAATTTGGTAATAACACATTTGATAAGGGACTCTTACCTAAAATTTATAGACTATACCAGCACCTTAATGAGAAAAAGATAAACAACCCAATTGCAAAATGGGCATAGGATATGAATAGATACTTCACCAAAGAAGACATTCAGATGGCAAACACATGAAGAAATGTTAAAAATTCTCATTTATCAGAGAGATGAAAATCAAAACATCTATGAGATATCATCTGATTCCAGTAACAATAGCAAAGTTCAACAGAGCAGCAAACAATAAATGCTGGTGAGGTTGTGGAAAGATTGGAACCCTTATTCACTGTTGGTGGGAGTTTAAAATGGTGCCACCACAATGGAAGGTAGTTTGGTGCTTTCACAAAAAGTTGGAGGTAGAAAAACCATTTGACCCAGCACTTCCACTACTGGAATAATAACCTGAAGAAACAATAATAGTCACCCAAAAAGATATATGCACACTCATATTTATTGCTGCATTATTTACAATAGCAAAAAGATGGAAGCAACCCAGGTGCCCATCAACAAATAAACGGATAAAAAAAACCTATGGTATATTCATGCAATGGAATATTATGCAGCACTGAAAACCAATGAACTTGTAAAACATTATACAACCTGGGGGACCCTGGAGTACATCAGGTTGAGTGAAATATCACAGAAACAAAAGGACAAATACTGCATGGCACCGTTGTTATAAAGCAGGTCTGACTTGGAGGGTTTGAGGGATGCTAGGATAAGGGTAGATAGATAACGACCACTGCATTGGAACAGATGAAAGAAAGAACTGTCTAAAATGAATAAATGAGTAGTCATTATATGTATGACAACAGCCCAGAATAAGAGATACGTGATTGCAAAGAGGACTGGGAGCAGAGGGGGGTGGGAAGGTAGGTAATTGTGTAACAATGAATAAATATTTTTTTTTAAAAATGGGTAAGGGAGGGTGAGGGGGTAAAATGTGCAACAATAAATGAATGAAAAATATGACTTCTTTGTAAATGTTTGTTCAAATCACAATTAAAAGAAAATTTTATTTTAAAAAACCAG